TGCAGTGACCCCAGAAAATCAGGAGACAGAGCCTGGGGAGGGAGCAGGGGTGGCTTGGTGAGCTCGTGATGGACATTTCCATGGATCTCTGTGGGCTCTGGGTTTTTATTGCACACTTCACCCTGATTTTGGCACAATTCTCACTGCTCACCCCGTGTGCTGCTCACCTCAACCCCTGCCCGGTTCACTGCTTTCACCCAAAGCAGGAATTTCACATTTCTGTACCCACGGCAGCATCCAGGGCCATTCCCCTTTGGAAGTGAGGTACCAGTGGAAGTGCCAGCCCCGGGAAGGAGCAGGGGTGGCTTGGTGAGCTCCTGATGGACATTTTTGTGGATCTCTGTGGGCTCTGTATTGCACCTTTGAGGTTTTAATTCCACACCTCCACCCTGATTTTGGCACAATTCTCACAGTGATCACATCCCCGTGTGCTGCTCACCTCAACCCCTGCCCGGTTCACTGCTTTCACCCAAAGCAGGCATTTCACATTTCTGTACCCACCCCAGGACACGGCCACAGCCCAGGGTCATTCTCCTTTGGAGGTGAGGTGCCAATGCCAGGAAGGAGCAGGATTGTCTTGGTGAGCTCCTGATGGACATTTCCGTGGATTTCTGTGGGCTCTGGGCTGCACATTCTGGGGGTTTATTCCACACTTCACCCTGATTTTGGCACAATTCTCACAGTGATCACATCCGCTTGTGCTGCTCACCTCAACCCCTGTCTGGTTCACTGTTGTCACCCAAACCAGGAATTTCACATTTCTGTACCCAAAGCAGCATCCAGGGCCATTCCCTTTGAAGGTGAGGTGCCAAAGGAAGTGGGCAGGAGCAGGGGTGGCTTGGTGCGCTCCTGATGGACATTTCTGTGGATCTCTGTGGGCTCTGGGCTGCACGTTCTGTTTTTTTATTCCACACTTCACCCTGATTTTGGCACAATTCTCGGTGCTCACCCCGTGTGCTGCTCATCTCAACCTCTGCCCGGTTCACTGCTGTCGCCCAAAGCAGGAATTTCACATTTCTGTACCCAAATCAGCATCCCAGGGCCATTCCCCTTTGGAGGTGAGGTGCCAATGGAAGTGCCAGCCCCAGGAATGGGTGCCAGGCAGGCACTGCCAGGGCGGAGGGCTGCAAGATGCTCATCCCACCCACATTCATCCCACTCCCGAGAGCTCAGCTCAGCCCAGAACGCCGCGGGGCAGGCTGAGGAGGAAGAGGATTTACAAAGGGAGAGCAGAAGGGGTTTTCTCCTCTCAGAAATTCCCAAAGCAGCGCGTTCTCCCGGCGCTCGCACGCCTGCTGCCCTCCGGGGACGCTTTCCAGGCTCACGCCTTTCCTGTTGCACCAGAGCCGGTCGTTCCCTCCCTCTCTCTCTCCCGGCAGCTCCGGGCGGGCAGCGACCTGTCCCGACCCCTCCGCGCCTTTCCCGATGTCCAACCCCCTTCCCGGAGTGCTGCCGAGGGGATGGGACAGGGGAAACATCGCTGGGATGGGGCGGGGGAGATATGGGACAGGGGATGGGGCAGGTGAGATATGGGACAGGGAATGGGGCAGGGAATGGGGCAGGGAATGGGACAGGGAATGGGACAGGGAATGGGGCAGGGAATGGGGCAGGGAATGGGGCAGGGAATGGGGCAGGGAATGGGGCAGGGAAGGGGGGGGGGGGGGGGGGGGGGGGGGGGGGGGGGGGGGGGGGGGGGGGGGGGGGGGGGGGGGGGGGGGGGGGGGGGGGGGGGGGGGGGGGAGGGGACAGGGGAGATGTGGGACAGGGAATGGGGCAGGGGATGGGACAGGTGAGACATCCCTGGGATGGGGCAGGGGACAGAGGAGCTAGGGATGGGGCAGGTGAGCCTTGGGGCAGGGAATGGGGCAAAGGATGGGGCAGGTGAGACGTCCCTGGGATGGGGCAGGTAATCCATGGGACAGGTGAGCCATGGGGCAGGGAATGGGGCAGGTGAGCAACAGGGCAGGGAATGGGGCAGGTGAGCAACAGGGCAGGGAATGGGGCAGCGGAAATGTGGGACAGGGGATGGGACAGGTGAGACATCCCTGGGATGGGGCAGGTGAGACAGGAGCAGGGAATGGGGCAAGGAATGGGGCAGGGGATGGGGCAGGTGATACAGGAGCTGGGGATGGGGCATGAAATGGGACAGGGACATTCCTTTCCCATGGGGGAAGGAATGGGGCAGGGAATGGGACAGGGAATGGGGCAGGTGAGCCATGGGGCAGGGAATGGGGCAGGTGAGATGTCCCTGGAATGGGACAGGTGAGACAGGAGCTGGGGATGGGACAGACAATGGGACAGGGGATGGGGCAGGTGAGATATCCCTGGGATGGGGCAGGGGATCCATGGGGCAGAGAATGGGACAGGGAATGGGGCAGGGAAGACATGGGGGAGGGGATGGGGCAGGTGAGATGTCCCTGGGATGGGGCAGGTGAGATGTCCCTGGGATGGGGCAGGTGAGCCATGGGGCAGGTGAGCAATGGGGCAGTGATCCATGGGGCAGTGAGCCATCCCCACCCTTTGGGGGCTCTCGGGAAGGTCAGCACTGGTGCAGTGTTGAGGTGAGAGTTGCTGAGCAGGAGGGGTCTGCTGCCCTGCTCTCACTGCAGGGAAATTCCGCATTCMGGGATAATTTGTGTTTTGCCCCTGACGGAACTCGGGGTCTGTCAGCTCACCCCGCCAGCCACAGCCACCTCTGCATCGTCTCTGCTTCCTGCATTGTTTTSTCTGTGGAATATTCAGCTTTTCCCACCCTTTCTGGGCCTCTCTGGGTGGGCTCTCGCTGTGATCKCCGCAGACCCTGAGTTCCCCAGGCTGCTGAAAGCCACTGCATTCTTTRTTTCTCTTGCAATCAAACACTCCAGCCCTGTCTGGCCTGCAGGTGCTGCCCTCAGGTCGGGAAAGCTTAGAGGAATCAAAAGCTAAAAGAGCTTCTAAAGGATTTTTCAGGTGCCTTTTAAAGAAAATGGGATTTTTTTTTTTTTAATTTTAATTTTACAATGCTCCTTGTGACCTGTGAGAGCCCACTGTGCTGGGGCTGTGGGTGGGATGAGCCCCTCGAGTTCCTGCTGTCCCCCAGCCCAACCTCCTCACTCAGATTGGCACTTCCACCCCAGCCCTTTTCAGCCTCAAACCATTCCTCCTCAATCACCACTCCAAGCGGAATTTAAGCAAAAAAAAAAAAAAAGGTCAAGCCACAGTAAATTGTGTGAGCAATGAACAGAGCTGCTCGCTGAYGTTGTGATCCTCAGAGCTGGTCCTGGGCAGGGGACACGTCCCCAACGGGGCTGTCCTGGGTGACACTGTCCGAGGTGACGAGGTCAGCACCCTCYCTGGAGCTCTGGGAAGGACAGAGGATGCAGTCAGGGGATGGACAGCAGGGCAAAGGCAGTTTTTGGGGTGTCTCAGGATCCCAGGGGGACACTGGAGGGGTGGGACAGTCCAACGGGTCACGCTGCTGCTGATGTGAGCATCGTCCTGGGCAAACCCCAAATATTTTTAGGGTTGGGACTCCTGTTGGTGGGATGAACCCCTCAAGTTCCTGCTGTTCCCCAGCCCAACCTCCTCACTCAGCCCCTTTTTCCATCCCATCCTGTCG